TATATATACATTTATTATTATTATTATTATTAATTTTTAATATTAAATCATTTTAATAAATGTTACCTCGATCAAATCCTATCCCACGCGACTCTGTCTCTCCTTCCTTCCCCCTGAGAGCTTCTTTTTCAATCGCACGTGGCTTCTTCTCCCTCCCGGTCAACGTCGTGGCTCGACAACATTGCAAACCGTCGACACTATCGCTGTCCTAAGCCCGTGAACATTCTTTTGCGCGATTCTGCTTGTACTAGTCCCCCTCCTTTCCTTCGATCGATCACACGACACCAACGCTGGCCTCGCCGCACACCAGGTAAGTTGATCTCACCTTTGCATCCCTCAAACACATCCGTTTTATAGGGCAATAATAACCTTCGGTTTCCCGATTCCTTAACTCATCTTCCTTCCTGTTTGATTTTTTGTTCCTTCTTCCTCTCTTCGGCTTCTTGACCTTTTCGCTTCATCTCTTCCATTTACCTGACCCCTCCATTCCTATTCCTTGATTATTCGTTTCCCCTTCCCCCAAGTAGCAGAATCGTCACAACAAGCAACTACAGTTAACTTCAGTCCAACAACTAGAAGCAACTCTAAATACGTTTAGGTATGACCAAGTATGGGATGAAGATGCCAAGTTCTACTCTGGACGTTAGTTCTGAATTATAGATCAAGGATTCTGTCCAGACAAGCCCTGAACTCTCTAATTTTTACACTAATCATAAACTTAATGGTCATAATTTCCTTCAATGGTCCCAATTCATATTTATGTATATTTGTGGTAAAGGGAAAGCGGAACATCTCACGGGAGATTACAGTTCTAAGATCACTGACCACAACCATCACAGATGAAAGAATCCATACTATATGGCTATGTCGTGGCTAGTCAATTTCATGATCACTGAAGTGGTAGAAATTTTTTCTTTACAAAATCTTCAAAATAAACTAGGAAGTTGCAAGAGAAACATATTCCAACATTGAGAATATTGTAGGGTTGTTTGAGATTGAAATCAAACTTCATGATCTTCGTCAAGGAGAACTAAGTGCTACCCAATACTTCAACACCTTGATAAAGTATTGGTTACAATTGAATATATTTAAGACGAGTGTGGAAATGTTCACATGTTGCAGTGATGTTTAAATCCATTATCGAGAAGAAGAGAATTATTAAATTTCTCAAAAATGATAATGCAAAGAAATATCTCAACTTAATCATTGGAGTTCATTTTTCAAAAATTAGAATCATTTATGTGAGTTCATGTATTGATACCTTACAATAAAATAAGATATTTGAGAGAAATAACATATATTTTTCTTGATGTATCTCACTCAATTATGATTTATTATCAAGCTACAAAATATTTTTTGGATGAAGTAGTTCTTACTGCAACATACTTTATCAATTGAATGTTTGGTTAGGTACTTAACTTCAAAAGACCATTTTATGTTTTGATGATTACGGGTCTGTTTGGGGCAGCTGCAGTTTATCCAGCTTATGTTGATAAGCAGCTTATCCAGTTTATGCTGATAAGCAACTTATCCTGATAATCTGCTGATGACCAGCTGATCCGGATAATCTGACTGACCGTTTGGTTTGTGTGTTTAGAAAACGACTGATTTGCAGCTGTTTATGGATAAATGACCATTTTGCCCCTGTGCATTAATATTATTTGCAACAGAAATGTTATAGCAATATATTTGATACTTAAGAAGCAAAAAATGACTTCATATCAGTAAAAAAAAATTAAATAGGCTTGAAAATAAACGCATGAATGAAAATATACATATCCACTTCCGTTGTCAAATGTCAATGTAAAAAACGACAGAGTGGAATGAAGGATTATGATTAAGGTTATAGAAGAATCTTCTGTTGTTGTTCAAGAAATTGAAGAAACGTGAAAGAGAGTAGAGATTACGGTGCTCGGAGCATGAAGAACAACCTAGGGGATGCTAGGTAGCAGAATTTGAGTGGAATTTAAGAACAATTTAGTAATTTAAGCAGAAATTTACCTAAATCCTGTCAAACAGTAAAAATGACATATTTAATTCTCGTTTCTCCTCTTTTTTGCCTGAGTCCAGGATTTAGAACATTCCGTTGGAAGGCTGATTTAGGAAATTTTGAGAAGTTGAATCGCATGAAGGTGGGTGGAATGAAGAAAGACAGAGGTTACCTTACTCCATGGATTCCAGTAGGAGCGGAGCGGAGCGGAAGAAGGAGAAAGATGGTTCGTAGATCTTTGTACGCTGCGATTCCTT